CCCCAAACCCAAAACACGGAGGCCCAGAGGCCCTGGGGAGGGGAAGGGGCAGGGAGCGTCCAGATGGAGGGAGACAGGCTGTGGCTCTGGCCGGGAAGGGCAGCGAGGGCTCCTGGGACAACCAGGGCCAGTGGAGTGTGGGCTGCAGGCCAGGCCGGTTGTGGTCTGTGGACGGTGGTTACGAGAGGGGCACCCTCGCTTCAGCAAGCGCACGTGGATACAGGAGGGAGAGAACAGACACAGGCGTCGTGGGGGGGGCAGACGGGGGCCAGGACGGCCAGGCGCGCCCTTTCCACTTCCCCGACCTTGCCGCGACCTACCTTGTCCAGCCGCAGGCAGCAGAAGGGGGCTTTCCCGGGCAGGAGGTGGCACAGGGTAGGGGAGCTGCCAATGTAGGGCGAGTTGGGGGGGTAGCCCTTCACGTACCTGGGGGGAGAGACAGGAGCCTCAGCCTGGCCCTCGGGCCCTAGGCTGCCACATGGGGGCAGGGCGCCAGACGCCTGCAGACCTGACTGGGCCAGGTAAGACTGCATGCGACGTGCGCACACGCACGTACACGTGCACACACACACGCGAGCTTACACAGGCCACGAAAGAACCTTAAGGGGCTCTGACGGCCCATCACCCCCTGGTGCCCCCAGCACCCCAGCGCTGGGGCAGACGCTGGCCCGTGGTCCCCGCTCCACTGGCTCCCCTGGGCCAGGCTGGTCGCCCCACAGGCTGTACTCCCCCCGCCGTCCCCACGGCGCCCCGCGCGCACACACGCGGTGGTTACCCTGCCATGGCTGTCCCCCCAGGCCACCTGGAGGGGGGCTGGCCTCCCGCTCCACCTCCGGTTGGCTTAAGGGACGTGGCGTCCGAGGCCAGCCCGCCACCTGCCCCAGGTGTGCAGGAGCCCTGCCAGGCCCCTCGATCTCAGAGCCGGTCCCCGGCGGCCTGTGTTTAAAGCACGTTTACTCCACCACGGGGCAAAGGCAGGAGCAGAGAGTGGCTGCAGTGACAGCCCGGCTGGGAAGCATTGGCCGTGCAGGCCGGCGGCTGGCCGTGGCCCTGGGGTCAGGCACCGCCTGTCTGTCCCGGACGAGGCCAAGTGGCCAAGACCTGGGGACACGATGGGGTCTCTTCTGTCTCGTAATATCAGAGGAAGACGTGGGCCCAAACTCAGGGCAGCATGACGGCTCAGGATGGGCCAGTGGCCTCCACCCCCGGACGGCACCTCACCCAGGGCTCCCCTGTCTGTGACCTCTGCAGACCACGCTCAGAGGGCAGCCACCCTGCCAAGCGGGCCGTGGCACTGAGGCCTGGCTGCCCAGGGTGTGATAGGGGAGGACGAGGGATGAGGGCGGGCACTGCCTGGCCTTCCTGTCCACGAGCTGGGTCCCCAGAAGATTCCACTTGCCAAACAAGGTCTCCGGGGAAGCTGTTTGGAAGCCTTGTTCAGAGCGTGGGGCAGACCCAGGACCAGCGCCGCAGGCCCGCCTCTTCCTGGGCGCCGGGCACTCACGTGCTGCACCTCCCCGCTCCCGTGGAAGGCTTCTGTTCCCCCTCCAGCCCCGGCAGTACTCACTCCACCACAGACAGCCCCTCCTCGTCCGACGGCGTCATCTCGTCCTCCGACTGGTCACTCAGCAGGTCGCAGGGCAGCAGGGTCGAGCTGTCGGCCACCTCCAGCACGGGCGCGATGCTGGGCCGCCGGCTGCCCGAGCCGTTCTCCGTGGGGAGCGCCAGCTTGCTGCCCTCGCTGCCTCTGCCGCTCTGTGCTGGCTGGCACTCTGTGTTCTGGAGGTCCAGGGCCACTGTCCCTGGAACAGAGCGGCTGCACTTGGCTGGAAGCCCCTCCCCTGTCTGTCCTGGGGGCAGGGGTTCCCGGAGTGGAGGTGGACAGAGGCTCCCAGTGACCCTTGACGCAGGGCGGTCTCGCCCGGGCGGGCACTTGGACGTCGATGCCGACACGGGTCCCCACAGGAAGGCAGGATGCCCCCACGGGACAGATGTGCAAACTGAGGCCAGAGAGGGGGGACTTGCCCAGGGTTACGCTGCGGGCCTGAGCACCTGGGTCTTCTGGGTGGGTCGCCCGCCCGCCTGCCCAGGAGCTGGACTCGGCCTCACCCATGGAGGCGATGATGCTGTGCACGGGCAGGCGGGACGAGCCCTCGCGCAGCCCCTGCCCCGCGAAGCCTTTCTTTTCCCGCTTTTCCTCCTGCTTGAAGATGAAGGCCGAGTCCTCCTCCTTGGTGATGCTCACGTAGAAACAGGTGTCGGAGGCGGCCAGGGCGCGCCGGGGCCCCGGGCTCAGCAGGATGCTCCCGCTCTGCTCCCGCCTCAGGCCGATGAGGCTCACGCCGCACCCGAGCGGACAGGGCGGGCGCTCGATGGGGCCCAAAGCTGGCCCTCCTGGGCTCCTTGGGGGCTGACGGTGCAGCCCTCCGCTCACAGGTGTCGGGATGCCTTCCCACTCGACGCAAAGACCCGCCGAGGGCAGCCTCGAGGGAGCCTCAGAGAGAGAGAGAGAGAGAGAGAGAGAGAGAGAGAGAGAGAGAGAGAGGCCCCGTGCGGGTCTCACGGCTGAGCGGGCGTGACGTCCGACCCTGAGGCCCCCGCTGGTCCACCCTGCAGCGGGCACGGGCCACGCCCATGTCAGCCTCCGGACCCCGCCCCGCACTCCTCCCACCCTGGCCTGGACAGGGCGGTGGGGGGGGGGGGGCGTACTTTTTGTGCGCGTGGAAGGCAGCATAGGTGAAGCTCTTGCCCTGGTACTCGCGAAAGAACTTGCTGTCCCCCATGCGGATGTGGTAGACCTCGTTGCCCGAGCAGCGTCCGTACATGCGCTGCCACTGCTCCGGTGAGTCCTGGCCTTCCCTGGGGCGTGGGGAGGGTGTCACCCCCACGGCCGCCCCCGCCCAGCTGGGCTATGGTGCCCCCCAAACGTGGCTTCTGCCGGTGTGGGTGGAAGCCAGCGTGACCCCTGACCCCGGCCCCTCCCCGTCTGGCTGAGACTAGACCTGGGTGGCCTGATGGGTCCTTGGCCAGTTTAAAAAAGCTGTAAACACAATGGTCTGATTTTTAGGGGTGTCAAAATGTTTCAGAGTCGAGACTGACCTCTGCGGCCTGTGGGTCCTCTTCCCCTGCCTGGTCCCTCCCCTAGGGCCGCCCAGGCCCCACAAGGAGCCGAGGCCACCCGGCGGGGCCCCCCACACCCCAGCCCGGTTTTCCCAGAGAGAAGATGGTGCCCCTCCTCTGTCCCAGGGCAGCCCCTCGCCTCAGGCTCTGCCTGGGACCCCAACCCAGGTGCCAAACACCAAACGCGCCTTCTCTTACAAACCAAGCCCCGCCGGGCCCCATCACTGTGCCTAGATCCCAGGGCTCTCCCGCTGCCCCAGCTACGGCCCTCTGCGCCACGGCGGGCCCTGCCTGCAATTCCCAGCAGCCCCCAGGCCGCCCCCCAGCTGTGACCCCTCGCTCGGCGAGGCACCGACGGCTTCCTCAGCTAGGTCCACGGGGTCGTTTCCCAGGGCCTCGGCCCCTCCCATCACAGATCTCCTCAACGCCTCCCGCTCCCCCAGCAGCTCCCCCCCCCACCACCGTCTCGCTGGCTGCGCGGCCCTCGGGGCAGCACTCACTGGCCGCGGGACGTGTGCACCAGCAGCGTGATGAGGGTGGGCGTGGCCGAGCAGATGCAGCTCAGGGCCAGCATGGCGTACTTGCATTCCTCCTCACATACCACGTGCTCTGCGGGCAGGAGCGCCAGGGCCACCGCAGGCTCCTGCTGCCCCACGGCACACGCCCGCCCCCTTGCCCGGCACCCCCCAGCACCCCTCCCCGCTCTGCTCAGCGCCATCCAGTGCCCTGCCCCTGGGAGCCTGTTCATTGTCTCGGGCACGCCCCGCAGAGGTGCTCGGCAGACAATGCTTCTGCCCGCCCTGGCCCCCAGGCCCAGGTGCACAACCTGCATGGGCTCCGCCTCTGGCCCGCACCCTGCACGCAGGCGCCCTGCTCCGGGCCAAACATACCTGCAAACTTGACGTGAAATTTGTTCTCAGGCTTGAGGATCTGGACGTAGAGAGGGCAGTTGGGGGCAAAGTCCTTCACAGCCCAGGCGCGCAGAATGGTCTGGTGGTCCTGGGGCAGGGAGGCCACGGTCGGTGCTGACGGGCAGCAGCAGCCTGGGGGAGGGGCTCTGCCCCCAGGCGCCCTCCCCCCACCCCCACCCCCGGCCTGCGGGCAGGTGGTGGGCGGCAGTGGGGGGCACTCACCGCTGCGGTGCGGTCCACCTCGTTCCGGCTGCTGAGGATAAAGCAGGCCTCCCCGTTGTCCATCCTGCAAAACACCGGGTCTGAGCACCACCAGGGCCGTCTGTGGTGCTCCCGTCTCGGCCGTCAGGGGAAGAGTTGGGCCTTGTCGAGACCCCAGCTCGCTCTGAGAAGCCCTGGATGGGCTGAGGATGGGCCCCCGCTAACCCGGGGTGGGGCTGGGGCACGGAATGAAGGGCCCACTTGGTGGCAGAGAGGCTGGACCCTGCCCGCTGGCCTGTCCTCTCCTGGGACAGGCTGCCCGAGGCCTGCGGATGACCCGTTCTGCTCCCCTCATGCCCCCCAGAGCCCCTGGCTGCACAAAGGGTGGCTGAAAACTGTCCACGCCCCAGGGCTGGGGGGCCTGGCGGCTCCCACCCCGTCACCTGGCACCCCAACTTGTCCCTGTCTGGGGCCTTGATTCCTGGGAGAGCCTGTGGGGCCCGAGGCTCAGAAGGTGGGCGTGGAGGCGGGGGGCCTTGGCTGCCGGGCCTCCTGCTTCCTTGGCCTCCACACAACCCACATTTCACCTCAAAGGTTACATCAGCCTCTGGAATTAAATCCTGACGGGTGATGGGGGAGCCTCCGGGGTGTCTCAGTGTGCTGCAGCAGATTCTGGAAAGTTCCATTCACAACTCAGCCTCCTTACCTCAAGTCACCCTGTCACCTTGTCTTCAGAAGAAAACCTGCCCACAGCCTCGGCTTCCCACCTGACTCAGAGCGGCAGCTGCCCCCAGGCCCCCAGATGAACAGCCAGGCAGGTGGGAGAGGAGGCTGGTGGGCTCACCCAGGCGGCTCTGCCGGGGTCAGCGCGGGGCCTGGCCCGCCCGGGTGGGTGACAGGCACAGAGAGGGAGCTGCTGCCCGCCTGAGGGCCCCTCCCTGGCCTGCCCGTGCTCAGGGCCGCCGCTCAGGCCGGCGCGGTACCGCACCCTCACCCCCGGCCGGCGCTCACTTGGCCCGCATGAGGTCCTGGTCCTTGAGTGCGGAGCCCTGGAGGTAGATGACCCGCTGGGACCACAGGGGGATCTCCAGGACCCTGCGAACCTGGATGTCCATCTCGGTGGGGCACAGGATGACAACATAGTAGTCCTGCAGGTGGGGGGGGGGGGTCAGCC